GGTGGGTGGAAGCAAACACTCCTCAAATATTCCATAAAAGATAATTGAAAAATTATATGTGCCTGTTTCTGTGTGACTTAATTTTTAAATATTTTTATTGATTTTTTATTGATTTTAGAGAGAGCGGGAGAGAGAGAGAAACATCAGTGATGAGAGAGAATCATGCATCGGCTGCCTCCTGCACACCCCACGCTGGGGATGGAGCCCGCAACCCGGGCCTGTGCCCTAATGGGGAATCGAACCCTGACCTCCTGGTTCATAGGTCGATGCTCAACCACTGGGCCACACGGGCTAGGGTCTGGCCACTTTTTCTTTTTCTTTTAATTGAGCATTTGATAACAAAGTGGGATGGGGCTCTGCTGTCCTTGGAATGAATAGGCCCTGGTGTGATGAAATAAAATACATTTTTGCCCTAACTGGTTTGGCTCAGTGGATAGAGCGTCGGCCTGCGGACTGAAGGGTCCCGGGTTCGATTCCAGCCGGGGGCATGGACCTTGGTTTCGGGCACATCCCCAGTGGGGGGTGTGCAGGAGGCGGCGGGTGGATGTTTCTCTCTCATCGATGTTTCTAGCTCTCTATCCCTCTCCCTTCCTCTCTGTAAAAAATCAATAAAATATGTTTTTTTTAAAAATTCATTTTCATTCATCTTAGTGACTCACGCACAAATCAGAAAGAAGCTGCATGTGAAAACGTGTTCTCTGATGAACCTTAATGGATCCGGGGAAACACTGCATTTTCAGTTAAAAGAACCGGTGTCAGTGAATGTCGCTGCCTCCACCGTCCAGCAATCAGAACACTGCAATCCGGGCCAAGCTTGCCCCTGAGGAGAACCGTCCGAGGCAGAGAAAGCAGGGAATGACGGGGAGTTACTAAAGCGAACTTTGGGGGCCGGTGGCTGTCACCGCCCCCCCGGGGCCGGCGAGGCACCACAGTCAGAACTGGGGTGCGCTCCAAGAAGCCTGTGCCACTGTCGCTAAGCGGGTGCAGGACAACTGAACACCCCCAGGGGTCAATATGACCCAATTTAAAGACCCACCCGCCGGAGCCAATCACAGCGCTCCTTTTCCTCCTTAGCCAAGGAATGGCCCGCGGTGCTCATGAGACCAAAGGGGAGTGTAATGGGGGAGGGGAGCGGGGAGCGGGGTGGAGGCACCTAGACCTTCCCGCTGAGCTGCCCGGGCAGCTGGGCTTCTGGGTGAACCAACAGCACCTGTCCTCCTGGTTTAAGTCACTGGGCTGTGGAGTTGTCGTAACTTCGGACGAGAGCATCCTAACAGTTGCCAAAGGTCATCTCACTTGCCTTCCCTCCAGAGAGGAAGGGAGAGGGACAGAGAGCAGAAACATTGATGATGAGAGAGAAACATCGATCAGCCGCCTCCTGCACACCCCTCCTGGGGATGTGCCCACAACCGATGTACATGCCCTTGACCGAAATCGAACCTGGGACCCTTCAGTCCGCAGGCCGACGCTCTAT